TTTTCTAAAATGTCATGCTATTTTAAAGAGTTAATCATATCTAATGATTAAGAAGTGCTGGCCAAAGTAAGAGCAATTTCATTAGAGCATGGGGGAAAAGTCTGATCCCAGTGAGTCTAAGAGTAAAGGGGAAAGTGAGGAAATGCATGCAGCTAATAAATTCAAGACTACATTGTGAAAATCGTGGCTTTATTCTTAAATTCTATAATGGCTAGGTATGAACATTACCACTTCGACCTTTTTGTTTCTATTTGCCTGCTATGTCATCATGGGACTTCTACTTTGAACGTTTCTCTGTCATCAAGTGTATCCTTTATAGGCAACAAAGAGTTGATTTTATTTTGCAATTGAACTGAAAATATGAGTTTAAAAAGGAAAGTTTGAAATTTTTATATTTATTGTTGTAATTTCTATGATTAGTTGCTTTTTTCATTCTAGCCTTGCTCTGCTATGCAGTCTGATTTGTATCTTTTTATCTTCTTCGGTGATTTTGAAGATAGGTATCCTGTTTTTAATAGTCAGTGGCTAATTCAAGGCTTAAAAAAATCTTATACATTGATAATCTATAATTATCAAAGTAAAAAAACCCTGAACAATAACTTTTAATTTCCTTTTATGGAATATTGGCCTTGTCCATCTCTATTACCCTCCATCATCCCCACCCCCTACAACCCAAGAACATTGTTCATCTATCTAAGGCCTTACATCTTGTCTTTTTTATAGGACACGGATAATTTCTTTCACTGTTTTTATCTTTTAATTTTAATTTTGGAACTATATTTATCATAACATAAGTCCCTTTCTATGGTCTCCTGCTTTTAAAGCTCAGCTCCAAGCTTTTCTACCTTGATGTTTTCAATCTCCATTGTTGTTATCTCTTTGAGGTCTAAATTTTGCCTCTCGGAGGTGATATTTTTCTGAAAGCCACACATACCTGAGTGTAGCTTTCTGGGATCTTCATACCTGAATAGCAACCCAACTGAGTATGAAATTCTGTGTCTAAATTTTTCTCCCTCAGACACCTTCTGGTGTTCTGTTTTTCAGAGAGGTTTCCAAGGAACTTGGTTTGTTTATTCACAGATGTTTGTAAGGCTCTATATTCATGACATTTAAAGGTGAAGGGGAACATCTGAGAGTGGCTCTCTTTCTATTATTTTGCTTGAAACATGTTTCTTCTCATCCAAGTTCCCATCTTCTCTGTTGTTTGATTTAGCCCCACCTCTCAGGGGGCTGCTGCCAACTAACGAAGGTCATCCTGAGCCTTTGGGTCTATTCACGGACCTGATTTACTTGACCCATGACCTTTCCACATTCAATTCTACTTCCTTCCTGGTATGAGACTGGGACCAAGGCCTGGTCAAATCTTCCTGTGAGGCAAAGGGACCCATCATCCCTACTGAAGAAAGTTAGCACACTACCGATGGTTCTGCTGGGAATGGTCATTGAGAATGTCGCCACTGCTGCCTATAACACACTAACCAGATTCCTATATAAATGGAAGCATTGGGACAGCCTCTGTGGTGGTTATCAGGTGGTTGCTCCAACCTCCCATCAGAAGAACCTGCTGCCTGCTGGGAGCACTGGTGCCCCTTCCACTCCATGGTGATGTTGACACTGGGGCCACGCTCTCCTTGGGCTGCTTCCAGCTAGTGACTGAGCCTGGCAGGGGTACTGGATGGTTCGTGCTCAACCTGGGTCTCCTCCAACGGGCAGCCTGTGCTTAGGGAATCCCTGTCAGCCTGGCCAAGATGTTGTCAGCGCTGCACTGCCCAGTCTTTCTACCCAGTCCTTCCTTCCTTCTTTCATCCCACAGGTGTCAGACTTGTTTTGTGGTCTGAAGCCTCTCCTTATCTGCTCCTACTCCCTCTTCCTTTATCCTTCACAGATCTTTCCTCTAATAAATCTTTCAAATGTCTAATACTGTCTTAGCATCTGCTCCTCAAGCCTCCCAACCACTCACCTCATACTGCAACCAGTTGATTGGCGTGGATCCCTGAACTGGCCAGGACAGGAGCTTTCAATGGCCCCAGGCAACAGGTTAAGTGAGGGGGAGGTTGCTGGCCCCAACTATAAGTGACCTGGATTTTACTGGCAGCCCAACTTTGAAAAAAAAAAAAAAAAAAAAAAAAGACTGTTTGATCTCTTACTGCAGCCTGAAGTCTTTTTATCTTATTCCAGTGAAGTTCCTGATCGTTTTTTTTTTAAGATTTTTTTTAAAGATGGTTTTCTTGAACTTTCAGAGGGAATTCAGAGGATTAATTTTTCAGATTCTCTGTTCATCCTGACATTAACTGGAAGTATTTTTTTAACCTAATTTCTTTTTGCCAGTTTCATAGAGTACTTCCTCTGGCTTCAAAGATTACCCTTTGAAAAGTTCCCATTTGCTGTTTGTCAGTAATTCAAATGTGACCGTTAGGGTCTTCCTACTGGGAAACGCTGACAGCCAAATCCCATCTGTTTCCACACGTACACTCGGTACAGTCAATTCAGGCAAGACCTGGCATTCTAGAGTATGTGCTTTCCATCAGACCATTTTTCTCTCTTTTTCACAGATGCTTTTTCTTGGCCACTTTAGTTCTAGTCTTCACGTCAACAGCAATGTGCCGGGGTTACCCATGGAGTTTGCCTAAGCATGACCCAGCCCCAAATAGTTGCCCCGAGTTCCTTTTTGGCGTTCTTGTTCAATCTCCTTAAACACGAACTTTTTTCACTCTTATCTTTGTGGGGCTTGGTTTTTTGCTATTTCTGATGTTGAAAGTGACTTCTCTAAAGCCGATGGTGTTGTAACCCATTTCAGTTAGAGCAGGATTAGGTTTTTGTCTACTTTCTCATCATTTTTTTTTGAAATTTACCTTGTTGGTTCCAAGTTATTCTAGCTATTTTTTAAAAACAGACCTGTGACTATTTTGGCATATTTAGTTGCAAGGAGGCAGCCTGCCAGTTCGCGTCTATGCTGGGGTTTAGAAATGGCATTCTATATAGGATCTTAAAAATACTCAAATCTTTCCTTCCCAAAGGCCCCCAAGGGAGCTAAAATGACAAGACACAATAGAAGAATGGGAATTCCCTCAGCGATAGCTCTGTAGTAAAGAAATAAGTCACCCGGATGTTTATGGTGGATATTTTCTTTCCCAGGAAAGCCCTAGGAAAGAAACCTAAGGGTTCATCAATAGGCTATTGGCTAAATGAGTTGTAGGGTATCCACACAATGGGATGCAATGGCGCCATCGGAATAAAAGCGTGGAATCATAGATGCTGATGTGAAACAATTTCCAAGTAACATTGTAAGGTGAAAAAGTAAGGGACAGACCTGGGAGTCTAATATTTTCCAAACGTTAAAAAGAGTCATACGTGTACATGCATATATGTGTATGACTCTTTTTTAAAATTTCCAAGTATGATATATATAGACTTGGAACATTTCTGGAAAAATTATGTACAGTCTGTTAACCATAGTTGCTTCTAGAAAAGACAACTGAGGTCTTGGGCTGTGATGGAGGCTGCTGTCTTTTGTCTGTTTTTTTTGGACTGTTTGAATATCTTATTGACTACGTAGAATATTTATTCATTCGTATGTTGAATCGCTGACCCCCGGTGTTATGGTATTAGGAGGTGGGGACTTTGGTTAGGGGACTAGCTCACGAGGGCGGAGCTCTCACGAATGAGGTTAGTGCCCTTATAAAACACCCCAGAGCGCTCTCTCTCGCCCTCTTTCTGCCATGGAAGGACACAGCAAGAAGCTGGTCATCTGCAACCTAGAAGGGGGCCCTCACCTGAGTATGCTGCACTCTGCTCTCGAGCTTCCAGCCTCCAGAGCTATGAAAAATAAGTTTCTGTTGTGTATAAGCCACCCAGTTTATGGTATGCTGTTGTAGCAGGCACCTTCCTTGAATCCCACAATGGCATACAGCCCTGCCCAACCCCCAAAGTGACCAGGCTTTTAGGTAAGACCTGGCCAGGGCCTACCCTGGACCCTTGTCTTTGGCCTGATTAGAAGCCCCGACTTGATACCGCCCCACCCCCTGCTTTTTCTGCCGGCCCCCAGCATCCCTGTGCAGCCACACCTATAGCCTTGGTCCTCTTGTCCCTGAGACCAGTTCTAGTTTTCGACCTGTCTAAAGAACTTTCTTTGCCCTATGGAGTCGTTAAGCCCTCATTTCATTCTCTTCGAGGATGTTCTTTCTTTCTTATTTCTCCATTTTCTGTCTGGTCTTCTCCTCAGAGTAGCAAGAGGCTGTAGCAACTATAGACTTCGTATCTTCCCAACTTCAAGTCCCACAGAAAGGGCCCCAAGTCCTTTCCTAGAAACCCAAGCAAGAGTTTCTTTATTTCTCATTGCCTCTGGGTGGGTCACGCATTTATCCCTGAACCAATGAACCAGTCACTGTGTCCGGGAGAATGTGATGCCCTGACTGCCATAGAGTCAGGCAGGGTCAACTCTGTCCAACCTTTGGGAATGTGGGCGGGGAGACCAGAGGGACAATGTACAAAGAGGAGCTGGGGCCTGGAAACAGTATTTGAATCCCTGAGCAAGCTGCAGCTCAAGTCAGCCCTGCCCTAATTTTTGTGTTTTCAATTATGTGAAATTCTCTCTTTACTTAAACTGATTTGGGTCAGGGTTTGTGTCACTGTTACTACTTTTAACAGAAGGATTTCTGATTGAAAAAAAAGGGACAGATATTCAGGCACAGTTCTGTTTTCATAAAAGGAAAAGGCATGTGTGTGTGCATGCGCGTGTGTGCGTGTGTGTGTGTGTGTGTGTGTGTGTGTTTACAGAATGAGAGAGAGTCTGAATGATATATATGAAAAAGTAACAGAGTTATATCCAAGCAGCAGGATTAAAGGTAATTTTTTCCTGTTGTTTCTAATTGTCATTTAATGACATGAATTGCGGTACGAGAAAGGGAATTGTTTCTTATTCTTGACAAAGCCGTGTGGATCAATCACTTCTGGAGCGTGAGATGAACTCTACCAACTCTGTCGTTGATGTAGGAAAGAACATGAGTCAGCTCAACGAAAGCAAGAACTGCTCCTTCCATGACGTGGATGAGCTGATGAAAATCATGCGGCTGGCGACCCACATCCCCACCTTCCTCCTGGGCCTGCTTCTCAACCTGCTGGCCATCCGAGGCTTCCACACCTTCCTGAAGAGGAGGTGGTCGGAGTATTCCGCCACCTCCATCTACATGATCAACCTGGCAGTCTTCGACCTGCTGCTGGTGCTCTCCCTCCCGTTCAAGATGGTCCTGGACCACGTGCGGACTCCCTTCCCATCCCTCTGTACCTTGGCGGAGTGTGTCTACTTTATCAGCATGTACGGCAGCGTCTTCACGATCTGCTTCATTAGCCTGGACAGGTTCTTGGCCATCCAGTACCCGTTCCTGGTCAGCCACTGCCGGTCCCCCAGGAAGATCTTCGGGATCTGCTGCGCCATCTGGGTCCTGGTGTGGGCCGGGAGTATCCCCATTTACAACTTCCACGGGAAAGTAGAAAAGTACACGTGCTTCCACAACATGTCCGACGGCACCTGGAGCGCCAAGGTCTTCATCCCCTTCGAGGTATTTGGCTTTCTTCTTCCCATGGGTGTCATAGGTTTCTGCTCCTTCAGGAGCATTTACATTCTGGTCAGCCGTTGGAACCACACCCAGGAGTGGATCCAGCAGAGGGCCTGCATCTGGACGATAGCGTCCAGTCTGGCTGTCTTTGTGGTCTCTTTTCTTCCGGTCCATCTGGGTTTCTTCTTGCAGTTCCTGGTGAGGAACGGCTTTATCGTGGAGTGCAGAGCTAGGCAGAACATCAGCTTGTTCTTGCAGTTGTCCCTGTGTTTCTCCAATATCAACTGCTGCCTGGATGTTTTCTGCTACTACTTTGTCATCAAAGAGTTTCGTATGGGCATCATGGCCCATCAGCGTTCCAGAGGCCAGACGTCCCTCCAGGATTCGGTGACTACCAGGGGCTAAGGGAAGAAAGCTCTGCTCAGAGGAAGGAAACCTTAGCCCCGATTCCAGTAGCAGACAACCTGTTCCAGGATTTCGATGTGGAGGGATGATACGTGGTACAATGACCGTTGAATTGTCCTTTCAGATGCTCATTGAACGCTGTCTTTGTTCATTATGCCCCGAAGACCTTTTGCCCACACCCAGAGAGCTCAACATAAATCACCCAGTTTTGGGGGATTTCTGATAAATGTAAGAACCAGATGAATTCTTCATTTCTAAGTCCAAAAATCATGAGGCAGAAGAATTGAGAAAGAAAACAAGACCATCTGAACAAGGCTGTTCCCAACTCTCCCCACTCTTTCTGTTAGACTAGGAAATTCTGGAAAGGAAGAGAGAGAGGAGTTAGGAGAGAGGAACAAGAGGCTTGGTCATGGGAGGAGGGATCCTGAGCAGAGACGAAGTGGTGGGGATGGCTCAAGCTCCTTTTTACTTTGGGGATCCTGGGGTGGGGCTTTCCAGTCCCTTCTGAGGCTCTGTTAGTCAATAACCTTGCAGAGATGACAGTAAGTGGGGGTGATCAGGGCAGAGCAAGTATGCACAGAGAGCCCCAAGTTCCCTATGGGCTTTTGAAAGGCCTAGAAAGCCAGCTAAACCTTTCCGTGTCCACGAGAAGGCTGCGGAAGAACGAGGGGACTGGTGTGGACAAGGATGTGGTGAAGCTGTGGACATTTTGTGGATGCAGAGAGGACAGAGCGGATAGCTGTTGGTGACACCTGAGAGCCATGAGGGTACAGGATACACCTGGGGAAGGAAGGAAGGACACAAGCCAACGACTGGAAGTGGACAGTCCCTCCCACATTGTCACCGGGGTATCCATTGCATGGAGTTTTAGCTCTGGCCTGCGGGAGGAGAGGCAACAGAGACAAGTCCACGGAGACAAGCCCGGGAGAGGGGACATCCCAGCCGTGATCGTCTCGCTCTCTTGAACAGACTGGGGAGCTGTTCACCGTTTCCTTGTGAACGATGAGAAAGAATCAGATTTGATTCGGTTCAGCCAGAGGCGAATAAGGAAGAATAAGGAACAGGTGTTTGTCTTGCCTACCTGCGTCCCTGCTGTGGTCACAGTGGCATCTGGCCACGGTGGCACTGTCCACAGAGCTGTCCCTCTCCAGTGGCTGGGAGGGAGAAAATGCGTCAGCCAGGAATGGAGGAACGATCTTGAGGGCACCAGGTGTTTGGCAGTTCTTGGCTGGAAACAAAACAACTGAATCACGGCTTGGTTCCAGCCCCTCTAGCGATCTAAGCAGGAGCAGCAGAGACAGCTTAAGGCCTTTGATGACTCAGCTGCTCCACAGAGTCAAATGATTGGAAGGATAAATTGTGGGCTGGTTCTGCGAGATGGAGAGAGTGGGGTGAGAAGTCACAAATGAGACAAGGGAAAGGTGTTTTGGGAAAGCAACCTCCTTCTACCTGTGGGATAAGAGTTCCCACCACCAAGTGGCGGGTGGAAGGAAGGTGTCATGGGGGGAAGAGGATGATTTAGAGAAAACTCTGATGGGAGAGAGGGGTGAGCTTGGGCGATTGCCCCAGGCTTGACAAGATGGAGCTCTGTGACGGGACTGGACGTGGCCAAGGATAGACGACAGAGCTGCTTCCTGCTTGAGACTCTCCCCTTGACTGAGGACCACCCAAGGGCAGGAGCCCAGCCTTCTCCTGCCTCCCCTGAAGCTTACTCACTGGTTAGGTGGTGCTCTGTGGGGCTGGAGGGGAGGGTGATGAAGAAAGTATGTGTGAAGGGGTGGAAATCAGTATGGAGAGCCAATCATGCCTGGATCAGGGGCTCCCGCCCCACAGACTGGGCCTCCAGGGACCAGCAGCCATAGTCAGGGGCTCTGCAGACCCAGAAAAGAGTCCAGCCCAGCTGCCCCAGGCCCTGATACCCCGGCCTCTGCCTGCAGGCTGCACTGTCCCATGGCCATCCTGGACAGAGGTACAGCTACACTACTCTTAGAAAACCAGACTGCTGTATCCAGCAGGACATTTGGGGCTAGAGTGTGGTCAGAGCCCATGGGTGGGTGGAGTTAGGGACAACTCCTCTTCCAATTTCTCTCTTTGCGTTGAGAACTGGGAGCCCACCTGGTGGAGGTGAGTGGCACCCTTCATGCTGCAATTGTATCTACCAGACAGGCTTCCTAAAAGAAAAGGGACGGCGGGGCGCTCACCACACGTCATCCCCAGCGATGTTCCCAAACATAACATCTTGGACAGTGGGCAGCATGACCCTGCCCGAGTTAAGTGACAGGGGTGTCTTGACCCATGAGCTGTGTAACTATAAGGTGTAGGTCCTTGCAAGGGTATAGAGTCTTGAGTTGATGAGACAACTGTGGTCTGGTAAGTGAATCTTGGGGACCCCTTGACAAATCCTCATTTCTCTACTTCTGGGACCTATCTTGGCTTGCGAGCCATGGAGGACTCATCAGGGCTCTCGAGAGTGAGCACAGGTCCAGCACTGCAAGCTGGGCTACTCAGCAGGAGGCTCCACACTCTGGGCCCAAGCCCGGCCTTTGATTAGCACTTGGATCTAGCAGGCAAAGAAGGAGTGGAGGGTCAGGGTGAGGGTCAGGGTCAGAGTTAGGGTTAGGGTTAGGGTTAGGGTTAGAGTGCACATTCAGCCAAGGGTCCAATCCTGCAGCAAGCAGCAGTCGATGAGTTGGGGAATCTTTAACTTACTTGTGGAAAGGCTGAAATTCCTGCTACTAAAGCCAGTGGAAGCTTGGAGATGTCATTTGGCCATAAATGTGACCTTATTTATTCTCCTACTCTGGAAAACCCGGAGACATGCTTGTTACTTGCGCATGTATGAAACTAGCACAATTAATTAGAAAAAAATTATTTGATTAACCTGATTTGCCAAAAAAAAAAAAAAAAAAAAATAGATTCCTATGACACTGTGTGACCTTGTCTTGGGGCTATATTTACTGGGTCCAGAGAAGAGCTGACCCCTGATTGCCCTTGTGAGGTGACCCAACAATCATGGCCCAAGGGACCAAGAAGAGACCAGCTCGAAGTAGCCACCTGGACACCCAGTGTCAGATAACAAACAGGGTGTTGCCCTCGGGCCTGCTCCAGGAGCACAGCTGGGGCCTGTCCCAAGAGCCTGGGAGCCACACCCTGCAGGGTCTAGTCACGACTCCCCACTTCCACATGGGTACTTGGTTCTCTGTGGTAGTGACTGGGCTACCACAAGCCCTGCTGTGATCCCTCCACACGGGGTCCGCCCCGCCCTTTTCCTGCCATCTCGTCCTACCGCCACCGTGACACCAGAGCTGCCTTCACAGGCCCTGGCCCCTCTGCCTACGCCGTGGAGCCCAGAGTGGAAGACACGGAGCCAGCTCTGCAGAATCTCTCCACTGGTGACCCCTCTTTTCTCTGACCACTTACCAAATGAGTCCGACTCTCCCGGGTCAAATCCGAGTTTTCCTTCATGGGTCCCCACGTGTGGATCCGGCCAACCTGTCCAGACCTCCTGGAGAAAGTGAACTGCTAGATACTGGTTCAGGCCACCCCTTTCTCCGAGTTCCCCACAATCCCGAGCTCGGCCTAGTCATGGCCTAGGTGCCGAGGGCTAACTCACCATGGACATTCTTACTCCTTGACAGCTGCTGCGGACTGAATTATGTGTCCCCATTTCAAATCCACACGTTGGTATTTGGAGACGGGGCCTTTGGGAGGCGCTTAGGTGTAGGCGAGGCCCTGGGAGGCCCTCCTGATGGCATTAGTGCCCTTACTGGAAGGAGCACCAGAGTGCTTGCCTCCTCTCTCTCTCTCCACCTGCACACACTGTGAAAAGGCCGTGTGAGGACCTGGGGAGAAGGCAGCTGTCTGCAACCCCAGGAGAGAGCCCTCGGCAGACGTTAAACGTGTAAGTGCCTTGGCCTTGGACTTCCAGCCTCCAGAACTATGAAAAATAAATTCACATTGTTAAAGCCGCCCGTCTGTGGTACTTCCTTACGGCTGCCTAGAAAGGCTACTACAACAGCCATCTCCCGTTAACCCAGGAGCCACCTCCCTCCCATCCGGGCCATGCTCCTTCGGGGACAAGGAATGACCTTCCCTTGGGATATTAGCCCTCAGGGAGCATTTGACCGTGGAAAATGCTATCCCCAAGCTGCATTTGTCAACTATATTCCTCTTGAATCCCTCTCTGGGGACCTGCTGACGTTAAAAGTCATTATAGGAATGCCTTATTGCTGCAATGGGATACTAATGGCGTTTGGGATAGTAAGATGACAGCCTCGTAGAAGTTGCCACAAATAAACAGTAATTGGAAAAACGCTTGAAATGGCTGAGACCTGGTGAGCGACTGTAGCAACTGATAAAGGTTAAGAAGAATTTGGTTACTAGATCAGTGAGGAGAGAAATTGAGAAGAGCAACCATGTGGGTGTGAAGACAGCCTGGTGTGCAGAACCGTCGCGAGGTAGGGAGGGAGGTGTCCCCACTCAGGGACCATGCGGAGATGGCGGAGATGCACACACCACATCGCCCTCTCTCCTCCCTAGTGGGTGGGCTGCACGGTGGACGGCAACCTTCCAGGGCCGTGGAGAGGCGGCTAAGGCCACCGTGAGGACCCCACTGCTGAGGAGGCAGGGGACTCAAAGAATCACAGGAATAGTGCCTTTTTTGGGGGGAGGGGGGAATACGCATGGAGCTACCATCACAGCCACCTCTTCTTTCTACTCAGAGCCGGCTTCTCTAGTGAGCCCAGGACACAGAGCCGTGCATGGGCATTTGAGGGGGTGAGTATGGCTGGTCGAGGTGGCTGCCAGGAGCTTGAAGTGGAAGGACAGATGTCCCTCCCCCCAGTTCAGGCTCGAGCACCCCACCCCCCACCAAGAGCCTGAGAGAAGAGTGCTCCTCTCAGAGGCACTGCTGGCGGGGCCACACGGCACTTGCTCGTGAGCCATGACTGACACTTGGCCCTAAGCCCTGTGAAGTTTCAGAGGTAGGACCTGAAGCACTGTCACTTCAAAGCCCGACTTGGTTCTGTTTGGTGGAGGGTCCCTGAGTTCACCTTGAGGTCTCCGACAGCCTTTGTTCTGTGAGCTGTCTCTTGAGCAAGTGTGAGCAAGTCGCTGTCCTCCAGGGAGGCTGTTGAGATTCAGGTCACCTCTGGGAGCCTACGGTCACACAGAA